CGCCAGTTACCAGGACCACAGCAGCAGGCTCAGGAGAGACCATGGGAACCCAGAGATTTCACATATGACATCTGCCATGTCACCTGAACTCCAGAGGGGCTGGAGGGGTAGCTGGGGACTGGGCTGAAGCCGAGGACGCCGAAGGGGAGGAGGAGGGGAAGGAGGAGGAGGAGGAGCAGGAGGAGGAGAAGGGGAAGGAGGAGGAGCAGGAGGAGGAGCAGGAGGAGGAGAAGGGGAAGGAGGAGGGGGAGGAGGAGGAGCAGGAGGAGGAGGAGGGGGAGGAGGGGGAGGGGGAGGAGAAACTAGTCCAGTGATCTCAGGGGTCCCGGGGCTGGGTGTGGTCTGGAGGCTCTGGGCCCCTACCCGGCTGCCGAGGGGGAGATCAGGACTCAGACGACATCTTGTAAGAGCTGGTGTCCCCCCACCCTGTCCCCAGTGACATCTCTTCTTCTTCCAGGGCTCCACTATCCCCATCAACCAGGCCAGGCCCAACCGGAACCTGACCTTGACCAAGAAGGAGCCTGTCGGGTGAGTCCCTGCCCTGGGCGAGAGGTGACCACGCTGCCCCTGCCTGGGCACTGCTCAGGTGGCCCGCGGGGCAGCCTGCAGACGGCTCGCATACTGCTGTCCCGTCCTGTCTGACCACGCGGTGCAGGGACAGCGCCRTAGCAGGCCGCGGGCATTCCGCCTAATGCCCACAGTGATCCTGAGGTCCTGGTGGCCCACGGGGTTCCCTCCAAAAAGTCCATCTACAAAGGGTGCGATGGGATCCTTGTGCGTCCAGATTAGAAAGTTCTGGAAAAACAGCTGCATGAGGTTTTCTCGGGAGGAGCTGAACGGAACAAAGGTCTGTGTAGGTCACCCAGGGCAGGAGGATGTCTCTGCTGGGCTCCCGAGATCAGAGAGGCTGCTCGGAGTAAGCCTGGGGAGGGAGCAGCTCCCATGGGGACCAGGGAACAGAGACTCCACTCTCCAGGGACAAATAGAGACCCCAAGCCACAGCCCCAGGGCCACCTCCTCCTCACACCCACCTGCCTCCAGGGACCACCAGGGGACCCCCCAGGGAGCCATGCACTGCCGGGGCTCAGGCCTCACACCCCCTCAGTCCTCCTCTGGACCTTCCTGTGTCACCTCCCACGGGGGCTCTGGGGACACTCACAGCCAGACCCCCTTCCCCTGCTGACCCACGTGCCAGTCATCCCTGCAAGCAGCCCCAGAGACAAACTCGGAAGTGCACTTCACCAATTTTCTAAGCATCTCCCAGCCCAGTCGAGTTGACAACCAAGGTTTGTCAGGAGGTGACATCGAAATCAGCCTGACCCCCAAGGACCTTGGAAACACAAACGGGGAAAAAAAACTGGCCATGCAGTACCTCATGTGACCACCAGAGGGCTCCAAAGCCACGGTGGACAGAAGGGCGAGTTGGCCGTCGGTCAGTCCAACTCGGCAGTGACCATTCAGGACGCCTTTCAGTCGTGGTGAATGACATACTTGCAGAAGGGGGTTCCCTCAAGAGGCCACACACTAGCCTTGACATCCAGCAGAGCCAGAGGGTTTCTTTTTACTGCTCAATTCCAGTACCAGGGGTGTGAACCTTTTCCCTGAATGGCAGGTATGAGTCTGCTCACGCTGCTGTAACAAACTGCCACAGACGAGGTGACTTCATCAACAGCTGCTGGCTCACAGTTCTGGCAGCAGGACGTCTGGGATCAAGGCGTCTGCAAGGCTGGCTCCTTCTGAGGCCTGGGAGGGAGCATCTGTCCCGGGCCTCTCCTGACTTATGTGTTGGCCCGTTCTCCGTTACTGTGACAAAATGCCTGAGATAATCCACTTGATAAGGGAGAAGACCGACTCTGGCTCACGGTTGCGGAAGGATCAGTCCATGGCTGCTTGGTCCTTTGCCTTGGGCCCGTGGCAGCGGTCTATCATGGCGGGAGCTTACGGCAGAAAAGGCCTGTCCATGGCAACCTGGAAGAAAGGAGGAGAGAGAGGAAGGAGCTGGGTTCCCAAGTCCCCTTGAAGCCAGTAAGAGGGCTCCCACAGCGTCCAGCACCCCCAGGCCGCACCACAGACTGGGAGCCCAGCCTTTGACACACAGCTGTGTCCTTGCCCACGTGGACCCCCCCGAGTGCCTCAATAAGGAGGCCAGCGTCTTTGCAATATGGGCCTTCTCTACATCATCCTGAGGTTCCGGGGATGAAGACAGACTTCGACTCGTGAATTCGAGGGGACATAATCCCCTTTCTAACTGGGGGACTCTTCTGATTGGCTCTCTTCTTTCAATACCCCCCCCCTCCAATAAGCCTTTTTTTTTWAAATATTTTATTTAGAGGCAGGGTCTCACCAATTTGCTCAGGGCCTCGTTCAGTGGCTGAGGCTGGCCTCTAACTTGCGATCCTCCTGCCTCAGCCTCCCGRGTGGCTGGGATGACAGGCGTAGGCCACCACGCCCACCTGGCTAGACCTCCTGGCTTTTTGTTCTCACTTAAAAATGGCCACGGTCCCCTCCCCCTGGTCTGTGTCCCTGGACTGCTCTCATCAGAATYTGATCAGGGTGCCCTACCATGGTGGGCAGTAGGAGGAAGGACTGCCACCATGGTCACTCACGGGACTGAATCCAGGTGAGAAAAGGCAGGTGTGACTGTCTGCAGGACTCTYGGTGCCTTTGGGGGCAGCCTGGCTTTGACAGTGGAGGTCAGGCCCTGGGAGAGGAGGAGGGGGTCAGCAGGTAGCCTCTGGGCTGAGACAAGAGAGAAAGGCCCAATTCTCTGGTGCGACAGGGTCTGCGGTATCATCATCCCCTGGAACTACCCCCTGATGATGCTGTCCTGGAAGACGGCTGCCTGCCTGGCCGCTGGGAACACGGTGGTCATCAAGCCTGCCCAGGTGAGCTGCTCAGGCCCTTGCTACGACGCTGTTGAGGCTGGCCTCTAACTCGCGATCCTCCTGCCTCAGCCTCCCCGAGCCTCTGGGATGACACCACGGCTCCCGGCTTGACCAGRAATTTGCGGAAACAGAAGAGGAACAATTTGTGGGGGGTTCCGAGGGCTGGAAAACTGCTTCCATTTGGATTTCCACAATTTCCACACCTGGGGCCGTAGTCAGAGTTACACAGAAGCTCAGAAGGCAGGGGCTGCTGGGACTTCCGTGGGCAGCGGTCACCTCCCCGGACAGCCTTGACTCCACCCTAAAGTTGGCAGTTCTCAGAGGAGGAGGCTGAGGGACCGGGGACGGGGCGTTCTGGAAGACAAGCCGGAGGCTTCTGGGGATGGGGACCGTTGGACTCCTGAGGGGCTTAGTATCAACAGAGAAGAAAGGAATACAGCACCGGACGGTCCAGGCCTGGCCAAGTGGCCAGAGCCCCACCAGGATGAGCCAGGATGCCAGAGGTTGGCAGGCCCCTGTTCCCACCTGAGRTGTAAGGAAAGCCGTCTGGATTGGCCGTGCCCCTATGGTTGACCACGAATGTGGCTTCCCAGGGATCTTCCTGGTGCCCCAATCCACAGCGTCCCCTGCTTGCAACTGGAGCCGCTGRGAGACAGAGACAGAGAGGGAAGGTTAATCCCAGGGGCTCGGGAGGCCRAGGCAGGAGGATCACAAGTTGGAGGCCAGCCTCAGCAACTCAGYGAGACCCTGTCTCTAAATAAAATATAAAAAGGGCTGGGGAYGGGGCTCAGGGGTTAAGCACCCTTGGCTTCAATCCCCGGTACTATTAAAAAATAAAAAAGCCCTCTTGACTGAGTCTTCTTCCCTGTCCCCTGCAGGTGACCCCGCTCACAGCCTTGAAGTTTGCGGAGCTGACATTGAAGGCCGGCATTCCCAAGGGCGTGATCAACATCCTCCCCGGATCTGGTGAGGGCTTCAGACGGGGGCAGGGCTGGGGCTCCAGGCCGTTCGTGGGATGGGGAACAAAAGTGTCCAGAGTGACCTCCCCCTCCACGTGGAGAGCCGTGAACGTGGATCACGGTCCTCGGATTGCCTGGTGGCTGCSTGGCTCTGGGAACTCCCTGGGCAAAGGTGCAGGTCAAGATTGCCCCGTTGCTATGGTGATACCCGCCCCAGACAGGCTCCATGCCAAGGCGCAGAGCTGTGTCAGTGTGGGCCCTCAGCTCAGGCACCAGCTCCCGGGGATAGAGGATTCCGAGCCTAACAAGATGGCCCTCGTGTCTCACCAGTTCTGCGTCCTTCAGATGGCCGCTTTGAAGGAACTTTCCCACAAATAGCCTTTGGCGAAACCTCTATGACCAGAGCTGGCCCTGGTCACGGCTCCTCCATCAGGGGGCGATGTCTGACCTGGCCCAAGTTTTTCTCTCTCTGTGTGTCTGTTTGTCTCAATCCCTCCATGGCCTCTCGTCGCTGGTGCCCGAACAGGGACATGAAGAGGTCCGTGGCGCCCCCACTTAACTGGCCGCCAGGAGAGGCTGTCCACCTGCCGGGCGGGGGAGCAGGGTCAGGGATGATTGACAGCTCAAGTTCAAACATGTCAGATCCGAGAGGCTCTCAGATATCCAGGCCCAGGAGCCGAGCAGGCAGAGGGGGACAAGGGACGCCGGATTCCAGAGGAGCTCGGCCAGAGATACAGACGGAGGGGACGACTTATCCGGAGATGGCGTTCGAAGGCCTGGTGGAGTCGCAGAGGGGGCTGTGACCCAGAGGACGGAGCCAGGGCACTGGACAGGCCAAGATGATGGAAGAGGGGGCAGTCAGAGAGGTTGAGCAGAACAGGAGGGCACAGAAGGATGGGGAGGAAGGGTTGGAAGCCGCGTCRGGAAAGGGCCTCTGGAGGAGTCTTGGCTGAGTTTGGAAGAGGGCAGCGTCAGGAAAGTTCATCTTGGAGTCTCACTGCCGCCGCATGGTACAGAGGGACTGGCCAGCTGTTATTTAGACACAGGGTCTTCCTGCATTGCTCAGGGCCTCGCTGTTGCTGAGGCTGGCCTCCAACTTKCGATGCTGAGGCTGGCCTCCAACTTGCGATCCTCCTGCCTCAGCCTCCTGTGGGCAGCTGTGTGCTGGGCTCAGCATGGAACTGGGAAGCCAAGGGGCATGTGGCTGCTGTGTCCTCACAGGCTGTCCCTCTGTGGACGTCTGTGTCCCAATCCCCTTTGCTCTGAAGGACACCAGTCCCATTGGGATGGGGCCCACCCTCGTGACCTCATTTACTCCTTGGAAGCTCCCGTCTCCACAGACAGTCACCTTCAGACGTGCTGAGGTTGGGACTTCCGATTCTGGGCCCGGGGGGACACAGTTGAGCCCAMACCAGGGAGCAGGGGTGTGCACCTGCTGCCTGGGGCTGGGCTTTTCCCCGGCACCATGGGGTCCACTCTGACCCTCCTGCTCACCCGGTGCCCACAGGCTCGCTGGTTGGCCAGCGGCTCGCAGACCATCCCGACGTGAGGAAAATCGGATTCACGGGCTCCACGGAGGTGGGAAAGCACATCATGAAGAGGTAAGGGTTGGGCTGGGCCGAGGGGGCGGCCCCAGCGGCCACAGCACCCGGGTGTAGCTGGTGCTGTTGTGTGAGCTGGGCGCTACTTTTGTCTTTACTATAAAAGTTCCCTTTTTAAAAAAAAAAAATTGTTCTTTGTAAGTGTCCCTGACAGCCGCGTGCATTTTGACATGTCACACCTACACAGGGTGTGACGTCCCGTTTCTGTGGTTGGACCTGTTGTGGGGTGTCCCTGGTCGTGGGTTCCTACGTGAACATGGGAAAGTGACGTCCATTCATTCCCCTGTCTCTCCCAGTCCCCTCCCCTCCTTTCCCTTCACTCCCCTGCGTCTCATCCAATGCACTTCTGTTCTCCCCTCTCCCTATTGTGGGTCAGCATCCACGCATCAGAGAGGACATTCGGCCTTTGGTTTTGGGGGGTTGGCTTATTTCACTTAGCGTGATCGTCTTCAGCTCCGTCCATTGACACTCTTCATCACTCTTCTTCATGACTGAGTAATATTCCATTGCATACACATACCGCATTTTCTTTATCCGTTCATCTGCTGAAGGGCATTCAGGTGCTGCTTTTTGAGCTTCATGGTGCACATCCAACCCCAGTGGCCATGTTTAATGCCAATGCTGGTCCAGCGGGTCTGTCCCCGTCCAGCCCTTGGGCAGCAGCCCGGGACCTGGGCCCTGCTGAGCGCTCTGCCTGTGGCCTCTGGCTCCTTACCCTGTTTTCGCTCTCTGCTTTAGGGGGTCCCAGGGGAACTCCAGGGTGGTCTGGCTACTCTGTGACGGTTCCCCAGGGAGAAGGGCCACTCTTGGGTCACAGAAGGGTCCCCTCACCGTCCCTCTCTGATCAGAATGACTTTCTTTCTCTTTGGGACGCGTTCCCCACAGGCTGGTCCCGGGCAGCCTGTTTGTCTCCCAGAGGGGATGGCGTCCAGCTGCAGCAGGACACAGTGACCRTCCCTGACCTCCCCATCCCCCTGCCTTCGGCTCAGTGGCTGATGAGTCAGGTTCCTGGGGTCAGGACAGGCCGGCACTGGGGCCATGAGCACAGCACGGCGATGGTGTCTGGTCAGCTCTGCAGCAGGCCTGTCCAGTGTGGCCAGCAACAGAAGCTACCAGGAGGGACAGCAGGTCATTGACCTCCTGACTCACAAGCCAGCCTCTGATGTGGGGACGTCAAGGTCAAATCCCAGTGCACACATTTCAAGTGCAGAGAGAAGGCTCAGGAAAGGTCCGCTCTTGGAACCTTCCGGAAGGAGGTTTCTTTTTTGGTACCAGGGATTGAACCCAGGGGTACTTGACCCCTCAGCCCCGTCCACAGGCCTGTTCTGTATGTTATTTAGACACAGGGTCTTCCTGAATTGCTCAGGGCCTCTCTGTTGCTGAGGCTGGCCTCCAACTTGCGATCCTCCTGCCTCAGCCTCCTGAGCCGCTGGGATGACAGGTCACACACTGCACCTGGCTTGGAGGAGGGTTTTGGCGGCAAGAGTTCAGAGAGACCGCTTTCTGCTCTGACTGTGCACGGCTCTGTGGCTGTATTCCCAGGGCCCCCTTCCTGGTGGGCAGGCCTGGTCCAGTTCACTGAATGCGCACCAGACAGCAGCGCCTTTGAGGTGGTGCCCAGCTTCTTTGGGTACCATCCCTAAACAGCTGAGATGCCAAAGCCCMCGTGGCCTCTGCAGTCCTGCCAACTGGGGGATGATTCTGTGTCTTATTTATTYGTTCAGCACTTATGGAGCAGCAGCTGTATGCAAGGCAGAGTGCCTATTAGGAACCAGACAAGTGTCTGCCTGTGCCAAAGAGTCTTGTGCTCTGGCAGACGGGATGAGTCTGAACGGAAAGAAACAACCCAGTGGGTACCGGGCAGAACAATGAGCAGGCGCTTCACAGAGGAAGAAATACGACCGGCCAACAGACGTATGGAAAAGTGTCCCACATCTCCAGCCATCGGAGAAGTGCCAATCAGATCTGCACTGAGATCCACCTCACTCCTGCCAGGGTGGCGACTGTCAAGAATATAAGGGACAATAAGTGTGGGCAAGGATGTGGCTGGGGGGCTGCGCCTTGGTGAACCCCTCTGGAAAGCAGGATGGAGATTCCTCAGAAAACTTGGAATGGAACTTGGACCCAGCTATCCCACTCCTCTGTCTGTACCCAAAGGACTTAAAAGCAGCACGCTACAGGGACACAGCCCCGTCAGTGTTTAGAGCAGCTCAGTTCACAGCCGCTAAGCTATGGAACCCACCTTGACGCCCTTCAACAGATGAACGGATAAAGAAAAGCGAGTTACATAGACACAGTGGAATATTACACAGCCATAAAGAAGAATGAGGTGACGGCACTTTGCTGGTAACTGGATGGATCTGGAGGCTGTCGCGCTAAGTGAAATAAGCCTGTCCCCAATCGTCAAAGGCTGAATGTTCTGACATGCGGTCACCATAAGGGGTGGGGGCTAGGGAAGGATGGAGGTCCTTTGGATCCGGCAGAGGAGAGGGAGGGGAGGGGAGGGGAGGGACACAGGGGTGGAAAGGGCAGAAGAATGAATCGGGCATCACTACCCTAAGTGCACGTCTGGTCACACAACTGGTGTGAGCCGACATCACGTACGACCAGAGGACGCGAAGCCACACCCCGTCTGTGTACRATGTGCCAAAATGCATCCTGCAGTCACGGATGACCCCTTGGAGCAAATTTTTTTTAAGTTAATCAATCCGCAAGGTGGGGGGGACGGCGAGGGCAAAGGCCCTGTGGCTGAGCGCTCGGGTTTTGGGGACAGGAAGGTGGGGATGTGGGGTGCGGGGCAGGCGAGGGTCAGGTTTCTGGAGCCCAGCAGGCAAGGGCCTGCCCCATCCCCTTGGCCCGGGGCCTGGTGTTCCTGGGCGCCGGCCCCAGTGCCCTGTCGCTTCCAGTTGCGCCCTAAGTAACGTGAAGAAGGTGTCCCTGGAGCTGGGCGGGAAGTCACCGCTCATCATCTTCGCCGACTGCGACCTCAGCAAGGCCGTGCAGATGGTGAGGGCTGGGCTAGGCGGGGACAATGGGGGGACTGGGGACAGGGAGGGGCCACCTGGGAGGGGAGGTGTCTCAGCTTCTTTGCTGTTGTGACCAGGAGACCCCACAGAGCAATCGGGGGACGGTGGACGTGGGGCTCAGGGTGTCCACAGACGGTGGCCCCACTCCTGGGCCGAGGGGAGGCAGGACATCATGGAGGAAGAGTGTGGGGAGGGAGCAGCTCCCATGGGGACCAGGGAGCAGAGACTCCACTCTCCAGGGCCAAATAGAGACCCCAAGCCACAGCCCCAGGGCCACCTCCTCCCCATACCCACCTGCCTCCAGGGGCCACCAGGGGACCCCAGGGAGCCATTCCCTGCCGGGGTTCAGACCTCACACCCCTCACTCCTCCTCTGGACCTTCCTGTGTCACCTCCCAGGGGGGCTCTGGGGACATGTCACAGCCACAGCAGGATARCCAGTCACTTGCCCTGGTGACCTGTCAGTCCTAGAATCTCAGCCCCTGTCCCAGGCCCGTGCTGCAGTGTCCTGCAGGGTCCCCGGGCCTGTGCCCCGCGGCTGGCCTCACAGGGAGCTGGACTCCRCTGGCCTCCCCACCYGGCCTCCTGCAGAGGCTGCTGCTGCTTTCCAAGGGCAGACGGGTGGGGGCCTCCGAGGGCCTTCGTCCTAACCTGCTGCAGGAGTCTCCTCCTGCCGGGCCGTGGCTGTGACACACAGCAGGTCCCCTTAGGGAYACTTCACCCTAGAGGCCAGCAGCGGCTGACAGATCAGCATAGGAGCAGGAGGACGGGGCAGGAGGGGACAAAGTAGCGGGGCCAGAACCACCCGGTGGGTCAGAGCAGCAAAAGTCCCTAAGCCGCAGGCGCCCAGAGTCCCCAAGTTGTTGACGGGCTTGTCCCCATGTAGGAACACAGGAAGTCCCTCCAGGACACRGCCGCCTGCTCCCGGCAGCCATGGACCCCAATGTGCTCTTGGGAGTGGACACCCGGCTGCGCTCGGGGCTCGGGCTTTGGGGTCCTCCCCYGGGCTGTGCACCTCTAATAGTGTCACCTGCCACCTCGGGGTCCTGGCCTCCTTTCCTGCCCTCGCAAGGCAGATCCCTCGGTCCCACTAACCAGGCCTGGCMCCAGGAGGAGAGCGTGACCCAGGCACACGTCCCCTTGGCAGGGGCTGGGGACAGGAGCCCAGGGGTGGCTGTAACCGCCGTCCTCTCCGCAGGGCATGAGCTCCGTGTTCTTCAACAAAGGGGAGAACTGCATTGCGGCCGGGAGACTCTTTGTGGAGGATTCAATCCACGACCAGTTCGTGAGGAGGGTGGTGAGTGCTGGCCCAGGGTCTCGGGCTGCTGGCTCGCGGGGCCCCCGGGGAGAGGTGGGGAAGCCGGGACAGGCTCCTGTCACAGATCGCCACCCACCTGGGTCAGGGGACCTGTCAGGCAGGAGCCGTGGGCCTCCACAGGTTTTTACTGGTTCAGCAAGAAACGGTCCCCAGATTGGAAATGATGTGACCCAAACAGGTCTGTGGGCTGGGGGTGTCCTCAGGGGTAGGTGAAGGCCCTTGGTTCCATCCCTCCTAACACACACACAAAAAAGACAGAAAATAGTAGCCGGGCGTAATGGCCCACACCTTCATCCCAGCACCTCGGGAGGCTGAGACAGGAGGATCGCAAGTTGGAGGCCAGCCTCAACCACTTAGCGAGACACTGAGTTGGGGACTGGGGACCGTCCTCCTCCTCAGGGAGGAGCAAAGCGTGATCTGACCCGAGAACTTTCCGCAGGTGGAGGAGGTGGGGAAGATGAAGATCGGCAACCCCCTGGACAGGGGCACCGACCACGGGCCACAGAACCACCAGGCGCACCTCAACAAGCTGCGGGAGTACTGTCAGCGAGGCGTGAGGGAAGGGGCCACGCTGGTCTGTGGCGGGAACCAGGTCCCTCGGCCAGGTGGGTCGGCGCTCCAGGGGCCACCGAGGCAGMGGGTACCATGGCCTCCGATTTCTGGCTGGGATAGAACTTGGGGACCGCGGGTGGGTGGCCAGGGACCTGCACAGCTAGACTTCAGGCCCGTCTGATACCTTAACTTCGGGGGGCGGGCTTGGCTGTTTGGGCACCTGTCGGACCCAGGTATGGGACTGGCAAGGTGGGGACCTCAGAACAGAACAGGGCCACAGGGCGGGGGGACGGCGCCCTCCCGCGAGCCACCGGCCCCTGTCCCCCGCAGGCTTCTTCTTCGAGCCCACGGTGTTCACAGACGTGGAGGACCACATGTTCATAGCCAAGGAGGAATCCTTCGGGCCCATCATGGTCATCTCCCGGTTTGCCGACGGGTAGGGGCGCCTCCCAGGGCCGAGCCTGGCTGTGGGTGACGGGGTCTTTGAATGAACCCTGGGAGGTGGTCCCCAGGGGCCAGAAGGAAGCGGGGGACACAGGCTGAGCTGCCTGCAGAGGCTCCTCCCATCACCAGGGGCGCTGGTCCCCCAGGGAGTAGGTGACCTCAAGTCCCACAGTGAGGGAGACACAGTCCTGTCCCCTCCCTGTGTTCCCTGCGGCCTGATGGGTTCTGTTTTGGGGTGAGACCACCCAAAACGGAGGGGCTTCAGAGAGCAGCAGGAGTGTGCTGCGTTTGTGAATCTGCAGTTTGGTTCGGGTTGGGGACAGCCAGTCACCTCTGCTGGGAGTGGCCGTGCTAACCTGGGCTCAGGACCTCGCTCACCAAAGGCTCGCTCTCCAGCATGGCAGCCTCCGGGTTGAGGTCCCGACCCCTGGTTCCCACAGATGCCAGCTGCATATGCAGGGATCCTTAGGATCTGAACTGAGAATCTCCAGATCATTTCTTCCGCCATGTTCTACCGGTCAAGCAGTCAGCAAAGCCGGCCTCGTGGGATGAGAAGGAGTGGCTGGAGGCAGAGGCAGGGAGGCTGGGAGGCTGAGGCAGGAGGATCGCAAGTTGGAGGCCAGCCTCAGCCACTTAGTGAGGCCCTAGGCAACTCAGAGAAACCCTGTCTCTAAATAGAATATTCAAAAGGGCTGGGGATGGGCCTCAGGGGTTTAAAAGTGCCCCTGAGTTCAATCCCTGATACAAAAAAAAAAAAAAAAATCTGATTTCTATTGAACGTCAGACACCTCCAGTGGCCACATGTGCCCTCCTACCTGTGATGGGCTCCTCTTCTGCCCTAGGACCCCTGGTGTCGACCATGTGACTCTGTCTCTGGTCTCCCTCTCTCATTTGTCCTTCCCAGGACGGGGTCTCTATGTTGCCCAGGCTGGTCTCAAATTTCTGGGCCCTAGCGATCCTACCATCTCAGCCTCTGGTGGCCTGGAGAGCAGTACCTGTCACCACGCCTGGCTCCTCTTTCCTATTCTACTCTGCCTCCTGCAGGCCGGCTTTAACCCTGGCCCATTTTTGGTGGGGGGACTGGGGACTGAACGCAGGGGCACAGGACCCCTGGGCCTCACCCCAGCCCGCTTTTGAAATTTATTTAGAGACAGGGTCTCACTGAGCTGCTGAGGGCCTCGCTTTTGCTGAGGCTGGCTTTGAACTTGTGATCCTCCTGTCTCAGCCTCCYGAGCGGCTGGGAGGACAGGTGTGGCCACTGCGCCCGGCCAACCCTGGSCCACTTCTCCTTTCATGTGCAGCAGGGAGCGTGGAGTGGGCCCCGCTGCCCTGGGAAGGAGGGGATCCCAGGTCAGGGAGTTCTTGGGACTTTTCCCACAGGGACATGGATGGTGTGCTGTCTCGGGCCAACGCCACAGAATTTGGCCTGGCCTCCGGTGTCTTCACCCGGGACATCAACAAGGCCCTGTACGTCAGTGACAAGCTGGCAGCTGGGACCGTGTTCGTGAACACGTACAACAAGACCGACGTGGCCGCCCCCTTTGGAGGATTCAAGCAGTCTGGATTTGGCAAGGACCTGGGTAATCTCACCTGCCGGAGGGCTGYTTTCATTTATTCACTCAACAAACACTTGCAAAGGCCCGACCTGGGCCACATGCTGGGGTACCTCAGTGTAKCGAGGGGTTGACCCTCAGAACAGGGGCCATGTTCAGGGCACAAGGCTCAGAGAGGCCACAGGGTTGGTGTGGGCAGAGGCCGGAAGACAGCAGGCCTGAAAGGCAGGACCACAGGGGGACCACAGGGGCCACTTAGAGACTCAGTCCTCGTCCACTCATTACCCAGGACATCCGGGGTAAGGCGAGCGGCCTCCCCGGGCACCCGCTTCTCATCCTCCAGTGCAGGCAGCCAACCTCACGCCCCAGCCACTTACGCTTTGGCATCCCCCACGACAGTGGGTGGCCTTGTGGCCCAGCAGCCTGTGGTGTCTTGCAGGAGAGGCGGCCCTGAATGAGTACCTGCGGGTCAAGACGGTGACTTTTGAATACTGAACAGAAGTGGCCTTCAGAAGGATGACCTGTCCTTGCAGCACCCCTTGTCACCTTGACCTACGTTCCCTAGGGAGGCCAGCTCAGCCTCCCTCCCAGATGGGGAGCCTCCCACTTGGAGCCGCTGCGGGAAGTCCCCAAGCCGGCTCCCGACCAATCACAGTGGCCCTTGGCCAAGGGGGCGGGGCCTGCGGGGCTAATAAATGTCAGCAGAGGTGACCAGCACCTTCCCTGTGTCCGCGTGGGCTACTGAGCCACCAGGGGAGTCACGTAGTCACTCTGAAGCGAGGGTGTGGTCAGCTCAGGCTCCCAGACGGGTGCTGAGATGGACTCAGGGGTGCAAGAGCTTAGGGTGACGCTGGAAAACGTGCCTAAGAGGAAGTGGGGCTGCAGAAGTGCCCTTTGCTGGGGAACAGCTCCTGTGCTTGGCCAGGACCCTGAGGCCCCTGCCCACCCACGTACCTAGGACTCCACGGTGGCCCCGCCCACCCACTCACTGGGGACAGTCAGGCTTAAGACGGTGCTGTCTTTGACCCCTCGCGTGTTGGGCGTCTGTCCCGGTGTCCCCGAGGCCCTAGATGCTCCTTGCTTGGGGAGCCCTGGGCTCTCCCAGCTGCACCCATCCTGCGGGTCMCCAGCACCAACGCCCCTGCCCCTGGGACCCGCCTCCCACAGCGGTCTCCTCGGCATCCGAGCCTCACACCCCCGGTCCTCCCTGTGTCCACGCCTCCCCGAAGGTCCCTCTGTCCTTCCCAGGCTGCTGGCCCTGCTGGGCACGGCCCGTGCCTCCCTAGGAGCAGTTCAGCTCCACCTGTAGCTCGCTGCCCTGCAGCCCGCGTCTCCGCCAAGCCCCACTTGGCCTTTCTCTCCTTAAAATTACCCCCGGAAAGAGAGAGATCTTTTAAAAAGGAAGTGGACTTTGACGAAAGCCGGCTTTGGGGGTGTGGGGACCACCGCGAAGGCCTCAGCCCCTTTTSGCTAGAGCTCTCCCTTTGGGTCGCCCCGCCCACCAGAGTCCCCGCCCTCTACGCTCCGCCCCCAGCCGCGTAGCCCCTCCCCTTCCCTGTTTCTCGCTCCCAAGGTCCCGCCCCTTCCCGCTCTCCGTCCCTCAGCCACGTGGCCCCGCCTCCTTCCCTGCTCCCCACCCCTCAGCCACGTGGACTCACCTGCTTCCCGTGCTTCCGGCCCCTGAGACCCCTTGCCTTTCCCTGCTCCCCCTCCCCAGCTTCCCGCCCCCCAGATGTGGCCCCGCCCTCTTTCCTGCTTCCCGCCCTCAGCTTGTGGACACGCCCCCTGTCCCCGCCCCCTTCCCKGCTTCCCGCCCCTGAGGCCTCAGACCTTCTCTGCTCTCCATCCCTCAGCCACGTGGCCCCGCCCCTTCCCTGCTTTCCGCCCCCGAGACACCGCGCCCTTTTCGCGCTTCCGGGCCCTGAGGCGCCACGCCGTCCTCCGCTTCCCGCCCTTCCCAGCCTGTGTCCTGAGGCCCGGCGTCTTTCCTGTGCTTCCCGCCCCTGAGGCCCCTCCTCCCCTGATTCCCCGGGGCTCCACCCCTTCTCGTGCTTCCCGCCCCTAGGCCCTGAGGCCTGGCGTCTTTCCTGCTCCTGAGGCCCCGCCTCCTTCTGGTGTTTTCCCGCCCTGAGGCCTAGTGCCCTTCCCTSTTCCGACCCCAGCCGCGTGGCTCCGCCCGAGGCCCCGCCCCTTCCTGTGCTCCCAGCTCCCGAGGCCCCGCCCTCTACCGGTGCTCCCTCCCATCGCGTGGCCCCGCCCCTTCCATACGCCCCGCCCCCGGACCCCAGCCTCCAGGCCACCCTGGCCGCGGCGCTCCGTCAGGGAAGAGCTGGGCCCTAAAGCCCGCGCTTCGCGCCTCCCGCCAGTCCCAGGTCCCTCCCTGGCGCCCGGAGCGCCCTCGGCGGCTTCTTTTCCTCAGCCGCCCGAAGGAGGACCTGGTAAGCGCGGCGCTGAGCCCGACTGGGCTCCAGGGTGGGGACGGGGAAGCGGGGCGTGTGCGGAGGGCAAGTGAACCCGGGCGGGGGACCACGACTGGAGGGCCCGAGCCGGAGGAGAGCAGAAGACGGGGAGGGTCCGAGGGGGTCCTGGGGGCCGGGGACGCCTGGGCTGGACCCGGGAAAGAGGAGCGCGGAGCCCGAACTGCGGAGCGGCGGGGCTGCCCCTCGGGGGTCCTGGGGCGCTCCCCCCTGCGAAACCTGGGCGCTCGGTGGCCCGGAGTATGTGCGGCTGTCCTGCCCCGACACCCCCGCAGCCCCCCGCAGTCCCCTAGGACCCCGGGGACGTTCCCTGGAGGTCCCAGCTCATCCCCGGGGCTGGCTGAGCAAACTGCCCCACGTGGACTCCGCCAGAGCTCCGCGAACCCATCTGTCCCCACCACCCGAACCTGTCTGTCCCCACCACCCTCGTCAGGGTTCCCCAGGTGCCTCCGGCCAGGAGAGGCTGCCTTCGAAAACCCAGCACTTGGGATCCTTTAAACCTGGTTCTCAGATGACTTCCCTGAGGTCCCCAGCCTGCTCTTGGGAGTCCCCCGTCCCTAACAGGCCTCCTGACGATTCTGAGGCTGCCCTATCTGAGGCATCTCTGATCTGCAGCACTGGAGCTTAGAGGAGAGTGAACCCAGAGTAGGGACAGGCCAGGTCCCCTGTGATGAACGTCCAGGCGTCCTCCCTGGAGTCCCAGGAAGCCCTCCACCCATAGGTGCTTGAAACATCAAGTACCAAGCCCCGTATGTACTGTGCTTTTTCTTACTTGCCCATGATGAAGTTTAATTTATGAACTAGACACAGTAAAGAGGTTAATAATTACTCATAAAACAGCACAATTATAACAGAATAGGTATTTAAAATTGCCAGTGTAGTCGCTGCACTTGTGGTTTGGGGCCATTCGTCAGTAAGATAATGGTTACTTGACCCTGACAGATGCTGAGATGGCTACTAAGTGAGTAACAGGCAGGTAGCCTATACACGGTGGACACGCTGCACAAAGAAAAGGTTCCCATGCTAGAAGCGGGCAGAACTGGGAGAGAGTTCACGGTTGCCATTCAGAATGGAACGGATCGCCAAGCTCAGGAACTGTTTTGTTTTGAAAATTTCCATTTAGAAATTTCAGACTGTAGTTGGTCACAGRTAAAGGAAACCTCAAAAAGTGAAACTAGGGTGGAAAGGGGAAGTGTGGTCCTCTGTTTGGGGTTGCAGAACCTGGGCCTGCCTGGTGTAGTCCAGGATGTCCCTGCCCCCTGGACCTGGGTGGATGCTAGTCTGTGAGGTGTGCTAGGACCCATCATCCCCAAGAGGGATGTGTGGAATGGGCACCCAGAGGGCCATGTTTGAGGCCAGCCTCACTGGGTAAATCAGACACTTCCGGATACCAATGGCCTTCTGGATACCTGGGTCTGACATCCTTGGGGGTTAGTGGAACTGGGCTCGGACCCCTGACCATAAAGCACCCTCTTCGCATCCTTTAGAGCCCAGTGTGTTAAATTATTATTATCCTCTTGTTGCTCACAGTAACYGAGCAGGCATGTCACCCCTAATCTGCACTCCTGACCTGTGTGCTAATGCTCAAGGAGGCCCAGGGGCCTCTGACCACCATCCGCAGTAATATGAGGTCCCTGCTGTTTGGCCACAGTGTCTCCCCTCAGTACAGATCCCAGGTGACTTCCCTTGCTCCCCAGGGTTCACCCTGGCTCAGATCTTTCTATGGGCACAGGTAGGACTGTGAGACCTGCATGGTCACTGCCAGGTGGCCTTTGGCATGGATAGACTCACCACCCCCATAGCAAGTGTGCCTTCCCTTCTGGSGACCTCAGCTTTGGAGCCCCCTGGTGGTGAGGCGAGGTTTTAATTGCTGCCCGCT